TCCCAAAAAAACAACTCTCCCAAAATATACAACCAAACAAACCAAAAAAATTTCTAAACTCTCTCCCCAAAATTTTTTTCAAAAACTACTCTCCCAAAAATAAACCAAAGAAGCCCTAAAGTTTTTTTTTGAAAAAATTGAAAAAAAATAAATTATTTTTTTGTACAAAACTAAAAAATTTGTATTTATAAAGGGGGATGATGATGAAACATTGATGTGCAAAATTGAAAAAAATAAATAAATAAATAAACTTTAAAAATAAAAAAATTGATAATGTTCTCAATTTTAAAACTAAAAAAAAAAACTGATAATGTTCTCGATTTTATTGGATAGTTGAATCAAACTAATATGTAAAAGGGCAAAAGCGTTTAATCTCATGCTCTATTTTTTTTTATCAGTTAGTAAAACAATTATCTGAAACATTACTATGCAAAATTGTTAATATTCTTATTTTAAAAATTAGAAAAATTTGATAATATTCTCAGTTTTACTAAATAAGACTTACTGGTTCAAAAAATCCTAGATAGGACCTGAACTACCATAACATTTGTAAACATGACTTTTAGGAAATTAACTCTTTATTTATTCTCTTTTTTTTTTCTTCTATTTCTCTTTCTCTCTTTCCAACATTTCTCCAACCTCTTATCTACATTCTATTGTTGTCGATCCACCGCCACCGTTCCCCAACTACTTTCGTTGTTATAGATCTACACTCTATTATTTCCAAGTACACTCAGCCGTCTCTGAGCCATACTTCAATGTCCCTAATTAGGGATGTAATAATAGTCCGACCTGGCCCAGCCCATCTGGGCTCGGGCTTGGGCTAGCCCATCGGCTGAAAAGTGGGGCCCAGGCCCAAGCCCAAGCCCACTCATAATAGGGGCCTAGGGCCAGTGGGCCTGGGCCTGGGCTTGGGCTGCTGGCCTGGCTAGTCGGGGCTTTTTTTTTTTTTTTTTTTTGAAAAAATGAACAATAAATACATTATCTATGTAGATTATTTATTAGGGATAAAAAACAAAAGAAAAATTATATTTGAGTATTTTAATTAAGATTAATGAGATGTTTTGTTTGGTTATGTTTCATGGTGGTATTTAAATTTAATTATGTATGGCTTATGTTTTTTTATTTATGAATTTCTAACTAAAAAAGTATTCAATTATATAATTTTTTTCTTCGAAATGAATAATTTTATATATGAAAATGAAACTTTCAATATTGTAATATTAAATTAATTATATAAAATTTATTGAATGAATAATTTTTATTTCAAAATGAAATAAAATATTACAAAAATTTATATCATTAAATAAAATAGGTGTAGATTATTGATGATGGTAGAACAATTGCATCACTATAGGTTAAGTACATCCCAACTAGGTTGGCACCTACTAGCCTACCAATAATTTGTATTATACTTCACCTCAATAATCTAATATAAAAAAAAAAAAAACGAAATGAAATAATAAAAAACAAATTGTTGTTTAATCATCAGAGGAGACAGATATTTCAGTCGCGTTGCCCGATGATATATCATCCAAATCATTTTGAATTCGCTCATTTTCACTACAATTTTGTTTTCTCGTAAGCGCATGCATATGATCTCTGGATATCATGAGTGCCTCAACCATTTGGATTGAAAGCCTGTTGCAGTAATCGAGACTATACATCTTCTATCTCTCTTCTATCTCTCTCAGTTTTTATTTTGAAAACCTATTTTGAGCACCGCCGTCTCCTTCTCACTCACTCAAATCTCTCACTCACTCCTTGCTCTCTCTCTCTCTCACTCAAATCTCTCTCGATTCTTCTTCGATTCTTCTTCAGTTCGGTGATTCATCTCGGGATTGCGGTTTCGGAGTTCGATTTTGAGCGTAGATCCGTGATTCATCTCTATGGATTTGGAACTCTTCGCCTTCTTCGATCAGAGGTTAGTTGCTCTCTCTTTCTCTCACTCAAATCTCTCTCGATTCTTCTTTAGTTCAATGATTCTTCTTCGATTCTTCTTCAGTTTGATGATTCATCTCGGATTGCGATTTCCAAGTTTAATTTTGAGCATAGCACCGTGATTTATCTCTGTGGATTTGGAGCTCTTCGTCTTCTTCGATCAGAGGTTAGTTGCTCTCTCTTTCTCTCACTCAAATCTCTCTCGATTCTTCTTCAGTTCAGTGATTCTTCTTCATTTAATTAACCACATTTAGAAAGGTTAGTTGCTCTCTCTTTGAATGGTTTTGATATCCTTTATGCTTGTTCAACATGGCTATTATATATAATAGACGAAATCCTAATCGTAGCCTAAGGATTACAATAAAAAAAGGGAAAAATTATTGGCGAATAAAAGCTTGTCCTAAATTTGACTAAATTTTATGCTTGACCTCGTCAATATATGTAATTTTCAGGTACTCAAAGAGAGTTTTAAGATTTATTGTGCAATTAATGATGGAATCATCAATCTGGTTGATAAGGTGAATTGCCTTTATTTTCTTGCAATATTTCCAACTTTAACATGGTATTAGGTGGAGCTTTTCGCTTGCTTAGACTTTATGCTTTAGTTTTTTTATTTTTTATTTGTTTATTTTTATTTTTATTTATTTATTTTTTTCCAGTTTTTTGAGATGCCAAGACATGAAGCAATGAAAGCCTGAGATATATATAAACGATCTGGCCAACAGGTGATGTTTGCAGTGATTTTTGTTTGAATCATCACTTTTCAAAACTATCTTCTGTATTTTGTCAAATTAAAATGGGATGGATCTGAAGTTTAGACTGTGGACTCGGTTTTAATAATTCAAATTCAAGTTTTAGTGGTTAAAAAGTAGGTGTTTACTGCAGGCTGGAAGCAGATTGAATTTTTAAAATGCCTTTTCCATTACTGTCTCACCAATTTGAATAGTCTAATAATTTTCCTTGGAAGTTGTTTTTTTTCACACATTTTAAGTGATATATCTAGGGAACTGAACTATGCCTTTTTAGTTCATTAGTAACCGTTTACAATGTGATCTACAGCTGTAGAATGTTAAGAATATTAAATCTGATGGCATTGATATGTAATATATTATTAACAAGGTCTTCACTTTTCTCTTTTTTGTTCTTGCGCTGGTGGGTCTGGATTGTTAAAGCAACATAAATATCCTGTTGAGTAATTCTTATTAAATGTGATGCTATCAAGTCTTGAATTAATTCAATATCCTGTTGAGTAATTCTTATTAAATGTAATGCTGTTAATTCTTGAATTAAGTCAATATCCTGTTGAGTAATTCTTATTAAATGTATGGCATTGATATGTAATATATTATTAACAAGGTCTTCACTTTTCTCTTTTTTGTTCTTGCGCTGGTGGGTCTGGATTGTTAAAGTAACATAAATATCCTGTTGAGTAATTTTTATTAAATGTGAGGCTATCAAGTCTTGAATTAAGTCAATATCCTGTTGAGTAATTCTTATTAACATTCAGAGGAAGCACCTATTTGAGGACCCATGAGCTTTAAACTGATTATCTCAATGCCATCATTTGATTTTTGTTGTAGGAAACAAAAATAGGCTTCTATTGCCTCACACCACCACCGACCAAGGTAATGCTGTGACAAACATTTTGTTATTCTAAGTAGGATTACATTTTTATGTTGCTCTTAGTTATCATGGATATTCTTGTGTTTCTTAGAATTTTATTTGATCAAATCTTTCCTTTTTAATTCCACTTGATGCTACTGGGTGAAAATTGCGTCCATGTATAAGGAAAATGATTGCATAGCTATCCTCATTTTGGAACATTAAAATCTCATATAATATATCATAGAATGATAAAATATTCTTTCAAAATTCAAGGTATGAAGGTGTTTTGGTGTTGTTTCGATATGGTTGATCCTTTGTGGTGAAACAGAGTGTGATAGCTAAATGATATTGTTGTTTTTAATTTTTAATTTTTTTCCCCCAATTTTCTTGCTTTAGAAAAAGGCAAACAAAACCTTTCTTGTCCAAGAGGAGATACGTTAAAGGGTTTTAATGATTTGAGTGATATTTGCTTTGTTATTGGCTGCAGAGTAATCCTATACTTTTTAGTGGTCTGTCAAGCAGTTACTCATTCAATTGAAACAACTTTGTTTAAGCCATAATCCCTGAGTTATGTTACAGAATTTTATGCTTTTTCTTTTTTGCTTCCAAGAAAATATAATTAGGCTTACTTTGGAAAAATAATTTACAAGAGAAAAGCAGGAAATGAGCAGAGAAAATATCATTAAAGGTTCTCCCATAGTTGTGGCAATATGAACCAGATAATGAAGTTCTTTAACATGCCCCTCCTGCATGGTGTGCTTGTTTGTAGAATTTATCCCCGCCCTCGCTCTCTCTCTTTCTCATTGAATACTAGTTGCTATCTTAGTTGTTTTTTGTGATTGAATTGAAGGAAGAAATTATTTTTGCAGCAATGAAGCGACTCGAAGACTTGGGTGCCTCGTCTTTTATTCTTGATCTTAGAGATAATCTGGGTGGACTAGTTCAAGTTTGTTTGATATCTTACATTCTCCATTTGTCAATGTATATATATATATTCCAAACACAACCTAACTGCTTAAATGGCCTTACTGAATTATTGGGTTTGTTGAATTTCTGACTGGGTAGAAGTGAGCAGAACAAACTATTGAATGATCCAATCTGGGTCCATCAAACTTAGGTTCTATTGAAAATTGTCTTGTCAATTACTTAAAAACTCATGTTAAAAAATATATATATATATATAATCTTAAAAGCTCAACCTTAGCTCTGGCAGGTTTTCTTGACCTACTGACGATCCTCAAATTTGAGTTGGGGACCCGGGGTTCCCTAAAAGATATATTTCACATTATCATGAATACAGAAGGTGGAAATGGAATACAAAACTTACAAATACTTAAAAATGGTCAGATTGATACCAATTTTGTGAACATTTTTGGGTTGGACGGTTTTTTTCAGTATAATTTTTAAACTACTTTTGATTGCAATATGGCTAACCACTTATTTGTTATTTCCGATGCAGGTTTTGGTGAACAAAAATACTGCTAGTGCAAGTGAAATAGTGAGCAGCTGTGATTATCACAGAGATTCAGTTGCTTATCAATGGAACCCGAAGACGAAACACATCTTGTCAGCTGGAAGTCTCAACTTGAGGAGGATATGAAGATGATCCAATATCAGGACAACAAAAACCACATTATTGAAGTACTTGCAGCTAATGACCTTGACTGTCATGATCTGGGTTCAATCTATGCAGCAGACACGATGGTTCTTGGTAACTATATAGAAGAAATTGTAGTATCTGCAGTCTCTTATCATTTGATGAATAACAAGGATCCTGAATACGGACACGGAAAGCTAGTTATTTCATCCTCAAGGTTAGATTAGTATATTATTTATCAAAACAAGGTTAGATTAGTATATTAATTGGAGGCTAGTTATTTCATCCGCAAGGTTAGATTATTATATATATTGGCGGTTTCCTTACCATTCAAGCCTCGTTAACTTACTTTGTTGGTCATGGAACAGTTTGTCCCATGGTTTGAGCATATTCCAGGAAGGCAAGTCTTCTGGCAAGGATACTTTAAAGCTGGAAGCGCAGACTGAACCTTTTACGGTTGTGCATATGTTTTTTCAATAATCTGATTGTATGGAGCGTGAAGAGTATTTTCTTGATGTCCTCTTTTTGTTGTCCTAGGATGCACCAAAGGATGAGGCTGTTGCTATGAAGCCAGAAACAAAAGTTGGAAGCACAGTCCCTGAGGCATCAGCTTTAACAGAGGCATCAGCTTCAACAGTGAAGGATGCTGGTAACCCAGCGCGCCAGCATCAAAAGCTCAGGTGGGTTAGATTTATTATTTCATTTTTGAGATTTCTTTGTTAGGATTTACTTATTCTCTACCATTGGTTCTACAAGTCGCTATGTATATATGCCAGCACCTGCACCTCTGCATTCCATGTTAAAATTGCAGATACTTTTTTAGTATTTAATTAATCAACTGAAGAATCACTAGCATTCTTTCAGGCATATATAGACATGCAGATTGATTTTTTTTAGTTTTGTAAACTTAACATGAAGTTTATGATGACCATCCGTCTCTCTAGTGTTTATTCTTCTCTTGTTCCCTTCTTTTCTCATCGTGGTGTTTGCTTATACCAGGAGATTCCTCCTGACAATGAATTTGAGAAGCGCACAAGGCCAGAAGTCATACCAGCTAGTGAGATTGGTGTGGCATTCAAAGATATTGGTGCTTTGGATGATATTAAAGAATCTCTCCAAGAACTAGTGATGCTACCTCTTTAAAGACCAGACCTATTCAAGGGAGGCCTTTTAAAGCCATGCAGAGGAATATTGCTATTTGGGCGTCCTGGCACTACGAAGACAATGTTGGCAAAGGCCATTGCCAACGAGGCTGGAGCAAGTTTCATTAACGTGTCTATGTCTACTGTCACTTCAAAATGGTTTGGTGAAGATGAGAAGAATGTTCGTTTGTGGTTAATGTTAACACATAATTTTTGGATATATGTTAGTTTGTGGTTAATGTTAAAACATGATTTTTTGATTTTGGATATGTTAATTTTGTGGGTAATGGTGATTGGATATTAATTGAATTGGGCGTCCTGGCACTAGGAAGACAATGTTGGCAAAGGCCATTGCCAATGAGGCTGGAGCAAGTTTCATTAACGTGTCTATGTCTACTATCACTTCAAAATGGTTTGGTGAAGATGAGAAGAATGTTCGTTTGTGGTTAATGTTTACACATAATTTTTGGATATATGTTAGTTTGTGGTTAATGTGAAAACATGATTTTTTGATTTTGGATATGTTAATTTTGTGGGTAATGGTGATTGGATATTAATTGAATGAGAAAGTGAATTAATGCTTCATTACAGCTATTTGAATGGGAGTTATTATTTTATATTAGTGTTATTATTGGTATTTTTTTAGTTCAATCAAATAAAATTAGCACAATTTCAAAAAAAAAAAAAAGGATACGGTGACGTTTCTATAAACACCTCTTAAACCTTACATCTAACATAGTTTTTTAAAAAGATACGACGGCGTTTTTCCAAAACGTCGCTAAATATCGTCAGAGACGTCAGCGTGTGTTGAGCAGGACATTTGGCGGCGTTTAATATCACGACGTTTTTAAAATGTCATAAAGCTATAGCGACGGCCGCGTCCTCGGTGTTTGGTGCTAAGCGTCGCAAAAATAATTGGCGGCGTTTTTGTCACTTTTAGCGGTGTTTTTTAAACGCCACTAAAAGTTGAATTTCCTGCTGTGGTTGTTTTTATATATTTTTTAAGGGTGACACTTTTGCCAAGTAAATTTTTAATTTTCTACTTTTTTCCACGATATGTACTATGAAAATATGTCATGTTCCTAAATACTCCTATCTAGACTTTATGTCCCTAAATAATTTTTTGAAATATGTCATGCTCCTAAAGTAATCTTTCTTTTTTAATCTTCTTCCTTATTCATTCTAAATACTCTACCACTGTTGGTTGGATATGAATCTATAGGAATATGTTAGTTTTGATGCTCATTTTCTTTGGAAAAATTCACAATAGTTTAAAGTTTGAAATATTTTATTTACCAGTGTAAGCACTTCCAAATTGAGGCATGAGTTATAGTTATAAAGGTAAATTCATGATTTAATTGTTAAGCTTCGTTGGAGGGTTTATTTAATATGATTTGAATTTTCTGGCTAGAGGATCATGTATATTTTTGGATCTCAATTAAAATATTATATTGTCCTTCATCTCTCTTTTATTTTTATTTTGTATTTTTTAAACTTTATAATTAACATTGTTTCCAACTGGTTTGTTTTCTTGATGGGAACTCAAAGTAACATATTCATTCAAAAATGAATATTAAACACAAGGTAAACTTTAATTACTTTTTGATTTTTTTTTTCATACTCATTTTATAAATTTGAATTTAATTATTTGTCGGTTTACAATCTTCAAAAATTCTTATCCATTGTTTAGTCATGATGTGTAGGCATAAAAATAAATAAGGTAAAATTATAACGTTTTTTTTAAATATTTGGTCAGTCATGTAACTTTTCTTTTCTATGAAATACATGTCTCACATTCCTTTTTTGGGTTTCCATTGAACAATACTCAATGAGTTAGAAGAGTGTAGGAATAGCCTAGACTCTTGCATTGGGAAAAAATACACAGATTAGTAGGTACTTGGATTATTTTTCTCTTACAAGGTTGTCTTCTACTATCAACTGAATTTTGTTTTATATCATGGTTTTAGTATTGAATTTTGCTTTTTGTTTGGTTCTTTTCTTTTTCTTATTGTATCAAACATGATGTTTTCACTACAATAGGTTTTTAGGTAGCTACAGTTTGGAGGTTTGTATGATTTGTTGTCATTCTCAATTTCACTCTCTATGCTATTGTTTTCTTTCTATTCATTTATCTGCTTTAATAGTGCAGACGCATGTCTATTCACTTGAATGACAGGTTTCAATTGACCATAATAGTTGCATTGCTTTAAACAGTGATGTTGGCATTTGCAAGAGAGTTTGAAGTTATTGTATTGCGTTGTGGATATCTCAACATTGAATCATGTATCATATCAATTCTCTTTTATGTAGCATGCTACTTTCTGTCTACCAAGTTACTAACCTAACTTTCACAATTTGCATTAATTTCTCACAAGCCAGTGGAAGCAAGAGCGAGATGGTGATAATCATGATCATGTTGCTTAGAGCTTTAGAGCCTTGAATAGATAACCATAAGTGATGATGTACTTGGATAAAGATTATAACTCTGTTTTGTCATCACTTGAATTGTGAAGCTTTGTGAATTTTGGAAATTTAGGAATCATTGTTATTACATTGTTCTGTACTTTATATCATTGTCCAAGTAGAGAGATTGGACAGTTGTCTCATGTATCATTTTAGATGGTCAAGATCAAGTTTAAACATTTTGTCAGATCTCATACAGCTAAGATCAAGAAGGCAACTTTTTTAAAGTATCTTGAATATTTTGGTAAGATTGATTATTTCTTTCTAAGATCAAATGGTGAGAGATTATTTTTTCACCTTTAAATTCCCTCTCAAATGTGTCATGTTTGTTGATAAATTCCACCTTGAAAGATCTCTCAATTTTTTGTAACTTGCTTCACTTCAAAGCTCACTCCACAAACCTTTATCCATTTCTACTCTCTTTAACCATCTGCATTTTATCCCATTCATTTTCTCTTTACATGTGGGTATGATCTATGTTTGATCTTGAGGGTTCATTTTCTTTGGGATTGTGTAGTTTTTTTTATTATAGGTATGTGTAGCTCATTTATTGTTTCAAGACTCAATTTATGGGTATGTGATTATTTGTGACTTTTGGTGCATATATGTTGATAGTTTTGTGAAATAATTGATTTCAATATTTTCTTTGGTGGGTTTTAAAGGTAGAATGAGAGAAAAGCTTAACACTTTGACAGATTTTTCACCTAAACAGAAAGAGCGACTTTAATTTTCTTTGTTCATATTTTTTAATTCATAGTTATTTTTATTTTTTTTAAGAGGTCCATAGTTATTGATTTTTGTTTGTTTTCTTATTATTATGCTATCTACTTTAACCAAGAGGTGTCTGGCTAATGGAATTGCCCAATTTTAATTTTAGTGTCATTTTGAAAGGAAAAATGAGTAATATTAAATTTTCAAATTACTTTCCAATTAACTTTTTAGTTTTCTTCTAATCTCATTTTCTATCAGCTTTTATTTGTTGATCAGATTTTTATCTATTTTGTGTTTGAGTGATCTAATGAAAATTATTGTTTTTGTTAGGACTGCTTAATTGAGCATAGTCTATTGATTGCCTTTTTGTAGTAATTATAGTATTAATTTTTAATCATAACTGTTTTCGAACTCATAACCCATTGATATATTTATTTGAAATCATACAAACAATTCATGAGATACGGTATGCAAGAATTGATAGAAAGCATGCTTAGATATATTTTTTTCTTCTTTCCTTTAGGAATGTTTTTAGGTACAAGGCATTCGCTAATTGTCTTATATGAAAATGAATTAAAATAGCGAATGACCAATGCCTGATTGGGGATAAAAAGATCTTAGTATCTTTGTTGAATTTTCACCAAGATTGCTTATGAAAATTGCAGGGTAAGTCATTTTTTTTATATTTTTATTTCTTCACATCTTGATTGTAACCCATTAAGTATTTTCTATCCGTGACACTTACTTACTGGAATTAATTTTGAAAAAATTGCAAATTAGTGGTAAGACCGAAAAAAATTACAAAATCATGGGAAACTTTATCACTTAAATTATTAAAGTTGATAAGCTTTACTATTGATTTGCAATTTTCCTATTAATTTTTAGATTTTATTATCGATTTTGCTATCAATGGTTTTACTTCGAAAAGTGGAGAGACGAGTTGACTTTTGCTATTCGTTTTAAATTCTCAAAAGATGTACAAGTGATTTGTAAAAAAACATTTGACTGCCATGTATGGTTACTACTTTTTGTAAGGTTGCTATTTTTCGTACAAGTGATTTAGTATTTTTCATGGATGTACAAGTGATTTAGTAATTTCATGGATGTACAAGTGATTTAGTATTGCTCAAAAAATGTACAAGTGATTTAGTATTAATCAAAAAATATTGTTGATTGCTCAATGAGCCAATGTCTAGCTTTATATTGAACTGTCTATGTATGTTAGTTGTTTCTCAACTTAATTAGTTATATCTGAAAGTTTGCATAACATTTGTAGGTTTTTGGTTGATGTCAGATTGTGCTGGGAGTACATTTTTCTCATGTCACATTGTTTGTAGGCAAGTTAAAATATTAGTATTTTTCCTATATTTTTCTCACGTAGTTTCTGGTTTATAATTTGCAAAGAATTATTACAATGTGATTTGCAGCAGTAGCACCAGCAGGTGTACATTGCTTGGTATTTAAATTAATTTTTTTAGATTGCAGAGCACTGGTTGGTGTGCATTTCAATTTTAATTTTCTTAAATTTTAATTTTTTTTTTGAATTGCAGAATACTGGCTGGTGTGCATTGGTTGGTGTAATTTTTTTTGGATTATAGAGTGTTAACAAATGTACAATGCCTTGGTTTGTATGTTTTGTTTTGTGTTTACAATTTTTTATTAACTTGCTTAGCAAGGGTGCTTTTATTTTTAATGTTTGCGTTGATATGAAGTTTATACTTTAGAGTCATAAATTTTTTTAATAAAAATGAAATGTTTATGATTGCGTTACTTGCCGTACTTTAAATAGTTGATTGGGAATTGTTTATTTTCAAAATATACAACTAAAAATATTTTCAAGTTTTTTTAATAAAAAAATCTTTTCAAAACTAACCAAACCTTCATTCATATTTTGACTTCAAATTTTTAGCAAAAAATGGGATAAATTACCTTTTAACCCAATAATTTTATATTTAGTTATATTTTGATCTCATCATTATTTGCACCGTGCCTTTAGGCATGGGCATACACTAGTATTAAAATAAGAAAGAAGGGATTATAAAACAATAACCGTACAAATCCTTATCCACACCAAAATTATTTATCTAAAATTTATTAAGAAATGAGAGTCAATTGTTCAAATTTATTTAAATCATGAATCTTGTATTTTATTAATTTAATTTCAATCGCACAGGTTCATTATTGGTCAATTCTGGGTCCCTAGATTTTTTATTATAAAAACACAGTTTAGTTGCTATTGATTCAAACTCTAACAAAGGTTCAGCTTTGGGCTTGTGCTTCCCAATTCTCAGGTCTCTCCCTCTCTCTCTCTAGCTCCTCTGCTAGACTGCAATATACATTTCCTCTCATATCATTTCTATTTTCAGTCTCTGGTCTACACACATTCTTTTTTTTTTTTAGATAACTGAGTATCTGGACCAGCAACATTACCGTCATTATGTTGAACAATCTTTACTGTACTTAAATAAATCAGTTCTGTTTGGGTATTGATTAATTTCTTTGAATAATAATCTGATCAAGTCCAGTGTTCGACACTGTGTCCTTAAGACAGATTCGTCCTCTCCACGGTGCTTTCAAAATGTGGACGTCTATCTCCCAAGATAAAATGATCAACAGCAAATAAATGCAGCACTACAATTTATTTGTTCAACGAACACACTTAGTGTATACACTCTTTCTCACAGAAAAATAATAGAATAAATGCAGCAAAATGTAGAGATGAAATTGCAACAAGGATGGACAAAACATAATGAATGAATGCATCAAATAAGGGCTGCCTATTTATAGATGGATTGGTGGCTGCTGGTTTTGAATTAAACAGGTGCAAAGCTATTTGAACAAGTACTGAACCTGTTGGGTTTTGAATTGGATAGATAACCGAATCTGTTTGAATTTGAAAATTAAACAGATTTGAAATTTGTATGTGGTTTGGACAGAATTTTGTAGAGAGGTACATTACAAAATTTGAATTTAATTTCATCCCAGAATTTTGAAATAAAAGCGGACATATTTTATTTCAAAATAAATAAAGTAAACTCAAATGTTTTTGGCCCAAAAAGATTAGTATTGGGCCGAACAAGCCTAACCCAACCACAAACCATGCACCCGTGCCCAAGCCAAGGGCCAGCTCGCCCGACCGGACGAACGGTGGCGGCGGCGGCACGCGCGCACACGTGTGGTGATTTTTGTGTCCAATGGGTCTAGCCTATAACCTCCCTCTCTACAAAACTTGGGTACCCCTTAGGGCACACCCCAAGTTCCAATCCCATGCCTTATAAACCCACTCAAAACTTCCCACCAAATCAATATGGGACAAGCCATTTTTCAACCTTTAAGGATTTTCCACCAAAACTCCATTTTCATGGAGCACACTTTGGCTTCAATTTCCCTTTCACTCGATAATGGTTTTGAGCAACCAAATATACCACGTGAATCACAATGCGGCATAGAACACTGTGATAACCCTGCTCCGTATTATGCTAATTGATCTTAATTACGAATGTGATTATATGTTTGATATGATTTTGAGTGCTATTTGTATGAATATATGTGGTTTTGAATTTCTATTTGTTCACCGTAGGAAAACTTTTTGATTATTTGCTTTAGAATTTAAATTGAAGGCCCTATCGGCCACAGAAACCGAAATTGATTACGCCACTATGATTGGCGTAATTTTTAGAGCCTACGGTAAAATTTAATTGAAAATTGATTCGGATCAAATTAAATAGATTAAATTGATGAAATAGTGCTCAATTAATTAGTGTTAATGGAATTTGATTAAGAGGGGCTATATAAGGGGTATTATACACCCACACCCTTTAAGTTTTGAGCTCAAAATCATATTTTATACTTTAGTAAGAGAGTAAGACCGGCTTTAGAGAGAGAAAGGGGGAGAATTGTGCAATTTTGGCTCAAGGCTTGAGAATTGGAAGTTAAACTCAAAGAACTTGCGTGTTTGAAACTCCTAGGTGAGTAATCAACCCCTAATTCATGAGTTTGAGTTGTGATTTTGTGAATTAAAGATTAAATGGTAAGTTAGATCATGAATTGAATTGATTAAATTGAGATTGAAGTCCATGTGTTCATGCATGAAGAGAATTGCTATGAAATTACATAATCTAGCATGTAATATGTGAATTATGAAAGATTGAGCATTGAAGCATACATGCAAGCATGGTTTTGTTGAGTTTCATGGTTACAAGCATCGTTGGTGCTATTCGAAATGGAATTGGGGTCAAAGACTAACATGCATGTTGAAATTGATAGAGATATGAATTTGGTATTAATTTTCAGAAAAGTTCTATATGTGGTATAGGTGTGCCTGAGAACAAGATGGAGGTGTTTGCATCTAGGTTATGCTGCAGGGTTCAGAAGTTACCATTGTCCTACCTAGGATTACCATTAGGGGCTAGTCCTAGGCTTAAGAAGACTTGGAAGCCTATTCTTGATAAATGCAAAGCTCGACTTGCTTCTTGGAAGAGGAAGCTTCTATCTTTTGGAGGAAGATTAACACTCATTAAGTCGGTGGTGTCTAGTTTACCTTTGTATTATTTATCTCTTTTTAAGATCCATTCTTCTGTGGCTATGGTATTTGATAGAATCCAAGCAAATTTTCTATGGGGGGGGGGGGGGGCCTTTGGGGGGTCTGACCTAAAGAGGAAGGTTCATCTTGTTAGATGGGAGGAAGTAACTAAAAGCAAAGATAATGGGGGACTGGGTATTAGGAAGGTTCATCAGGTGAAACATTGCCTATTGGGCAAATGGTGGTGGAGGTTTGGTGTGGAGGATTCATCATTGTGGAAACGTGTTATTTGTTGTAGGTATTCTTCTAATGGTAGGAGGTGGTACCCTTTCCCAGAAGTTTTTGGGTCTTATTCAAAAATTTGGGGTGATATTCTTAAGGTTAGTCAATTAAATTCCCATCTCTTCAATATTTTTATGGCAAATTCTCAACTATGTGTGGGTAATGGTAACAGAGTTCACTTTTGGATTGATAGGTGGGTGGGTAATCTGTCTATTAAGGCTTTGTTCCCTAGGTTATTTAGTCTATCTTCAGAAAAGGAGATCACTCTGAGAGTGGTGCTGGATAGGAGGGTCGATCAGTCAGATGGTTTTCTCAGGTTAGAAGAGCCTTGCTGAGCTGGGAATCAGATGAGTTGATTAGAAGAGCCTTCCCATCTCTTCAATATTTTTATGGCAAATTCTCAACTATGTGTGGGTAATGGTAACAGAGTTCACTTTTGGATTGATAGGTGGGTGGGTAATCTGTCTATTAAGGCTTTGTTCCCTAGGTTATTTAGTCTATCTTCAGAAAAGGAGATCACTCTGAGAGTGGTGCTGGATAGGAGGGTCGATCAGTCAGATGGTTTTCTCAGGTTAGAAGAGCCTTGCTGAGTTGGGAATCAGATGAGTTGATTAGTTTGGGGGCTTTTTTGAACTCTGTTGGGTCTGGATCTTCAGAGAGAGATGACTGTCTTCAGTGGCTGGCCAAATAATTCTGGGCAGTTTTCGGTCTCGTCCCTGTATTCTTTGTTGATGCCTTTCACTCCTCTATTGGTTTCTAAGTTAATTTGGAACAATATTTACCCCCCAAAAGTGCAATTTTTTGGTTGGTTGGCGTGGAAGGGGAGACTTACAACTTGTTCATTTTTGCAAAGAATTGGGGTTTCAGGTCCTGAGGCTTCGGTCCTATGCATATTCTGCAGGAGGGACGTGGAGTCAGTGTCCCATATTTTACTGTGGTGTCCTTTTGCTTGGAGGGTGTGGTCTTGTTTACTGCAATGGTGGGGGCTGCATTGGGTTATACCTCGGAATGTGGAGGAACTTCTTGGCTGGTGGAGTGGTTTTAGGTGAGGTAAATTTGCAAATTTGATTTGGCAAGCTATACCATTGGCTGTATTGTGGTCATTATGGAAGCTCAGGAATGAGGTTGTGTTCCAAAATAAGCAAGCAAATCTGGTGGAAGTGTGTGATTTGATCAAACTCAGAATTGCCATTTGGGTTAAGGCTCATTCCAGTGAGGGGTTTTACTCTGTGTAGGAAATTGTTAATAACGTCCAGCAGTTTAGAGGTCATTCTTAATGTCTTCGTATTGGATGCTTGCTGGGTGTTCTGATGATTGATTATTGCTGGATGGTTGTATCTAGATGCTGGTTCTGATGTATATTGTTGTCGGTGTTGAAGCTTGAAGGGCAATTTGATTGTTGATGTTGCTGGGTTTGTTATCTGATATGGCAGGTAATCTTGTTATCTGATATGTAGGGCAATCTGTTGTTGCTGTGGTGGTAGTAATCTGTTATGGCAGGTGTTATCTGTGGCATTATGGTGGCAGTGTTCTGGGTTGCCATGTGCTGGTTTGTTGCTGGTGTGGGAAGCTCTATGCTGGTGTTTGTTGTTTTGCACGATGCTGCTGGTTTGCTGTCTTGTGTAGTAGAAATGTGCTTGGTGCTCTCATCAGTCTGTCAACAGTCTTAATGCTGATATCTGGTGTTGCTATCTGATATCTGGTGTTGCTTGTTGATATCTTGGGTGTTAAATACCTAGTGCATTTTAGTGTGGCTAGGTGATAGTTGGTGTATGTCCTAGAAAGTGCCGGTAGAGTCTTCAGGGGTAGGTGTTGGTAGAGTTGGTAGGTTGATTATGCTGCCATGTTGTGATGGTGGTGGAGCTTCTTGTAGGTGTGGCCTTTCCAGTTTCTTTTTTGTTTGATTGGTATCTCGCCAATCAGTGGGTTTAGTGCTTACATATGACTGTGCTTCCTCCTTGGTGCCAACCTAGTTGGGATTGTGGAGTGATGATAGCTATGATGTTTTTGCACTTCCCTCTTTTTTGATGTATTTTGGTACTTGTTCTTGGTCTTTTCATCAATAATAGTTTCCTTTTTCTTTGCTGAAAAAAAAAAAAAAAAAAAGCATGCACTCTTGTAGTTTGGGCATATCTAGGTGCTTGCCCTACTGGTAACTGCTTATCACACGTTGTCTGGGGTACTCTGTGGAGTTTGGTGGGTCATAAGGGAATACTATTGAGGGGTTGGATGTACCGAGGCCCTCACCGTGCCCACAACCATCTACTTTAGCTTAGTAGAAGATTGTCTGATGAGAGAATTGGAAAGAGACTTATGACACATGTTCTCCTCTCATGGGAACAACTCATTGATTTTCTCTTGTTTGGAGATATAGGCTGTGAGTGTAAAAGATAATACTTGGGAAATGGGTTTCTATCGAAGAAAGAACATACTGCACAGTAAAATTCTTCAACATTGATAACGTAAGTCAATGCCTTTAATTGTCTGTTACTTGTATTAATAGCATCCTCAACTATATGGGCAAAGAAGAGAAAAACATACAAAAAGAGGAAAATAAAAAACTCTTGATGATAATGGTTTGCATCTTTGATTGTTTGTTGTTTGGTTTATGTTTCAAGGTGTCCTTTTGGTGAATATAGCTCGAGGGGGTCTCTTGGACTGTGAAGCTATTCTTTATCACCTTAAATCTGGCCACTTGGGAGGCTTAGGCATGGATGTTGCTTGGACAGAGCCATTTGATCCTGAGCATCCAATTTTGAAGTTCCCAAATGTCCTAATAACGCCCCATGTTGCAGGGGTCACTGAAGATGCTGTTAGATCCACGGCTAAGGTATGAAGGTTACTAAAACTACTAGACTAGTGTCAATTTATAGTATGATTTAGATTATATTTGTTAAGTGACAAACATTATCCTATCTAGACTGTGGAGTGATATTGTATCAGTAGTTGAGCAGAAAGTATCTTTACTCACTTTTTATGTTTCTAACCTATATTTAAGAGTGGGCAATGGTTATAGAATAAAATTCTGACATGATAAATGGTGTGGAGTTACCTCTTTTAAAGATGAATTCCCGAGGTTATTTCAATTATCTAATGATAAGGAGGGATCTATTAGGGACCTTGTGGAGATCAGAGACAGCTCTTACAATTGGCCACTCACCTTCAGGAGACATCTATTTGAATGGGAAAAAGAGGAGCTACTCAGAATTAATGGAATTTTAAGAGGAGCACCTACATTTAATCTTCAGGTTAATGATTTGGCTCTTTGGTCTGCTGCTAAACCTTGTCAGACCCTTGTTTCTATTTTCTACAACCATACCAACCTTGCTCTTGGGCCTAATGTCATCTTCAGTAGATGGGTGTGGATTAATTATCTTCCTCCCAAAGTGCAATTCTTTGGCTGGCTTGCATGGAGAAATAAGGTTAAAACATTAGTTTTCCTACAGCAGCTTGGAATTTTGGACAGAGATTCTTCTACCTTGTGTACTTTCTGCAAGTCCCAGCAAGAATCAATTGAACATGTGCTGATTTTCTGCCCCATGGTATGGAGAGTTTGGTCTGAGTTACTGCAATGGTGGGGGGTTGTTTGGGTAGTCCCTAGGTCTATTCAAGGACTGTTTCAGTGGTAGGCTGGGCATAGCTGTACATTTGAAGAAAGGAGAATTTAGAGTGCAATTCCTCTGGTGACTTTCTGGTCATTGTGGAAACACACAAATGAGAGTCTCTTCCAAGGCTCACAATCACAGCTTCAGGATCTTCATGAACTCATTATCACCAGATTAGCCTTCTGGTATAAAGCTGCATCCAAGAGATGTCTATTTTCAATTAGTGACTTCCTTTTCAGCTTCCCACAAATCAGATATTGCCTTGGTGCTAGGTCCGAGTAGTCATCTTGCATTTTGAAGTCCAGTTGCAGTCAATGTCTTAACAGCAACTTCCTTTGCTTGCTGTTCTGATGCTGATCTACTGGTGCTGATCTACTGGTGCTGATCTATTAGCTCTGCTCTTGGTGCTGTTCTTCTAGGCCTGATCTGTCTTGCTCTGATCTGATCTGTTATGCTTTGTTCTGATCTGTTTTGCTCTGTCTTGGTGCTGCAATTCTGGGCCTGTTCTGATCTGTCTTGGTGCTGCATTTCTGGGCCTATTCTCTTATGTTTTGCTTTGTTTTGTTTTGTTGGTTGCTCACCAACCGGAGCTTGGAGCTTGTGCTAGCTCCAAGCTCCTCTTTATTGATGTTTTTCTCATACTATGTATGCTTTCATCAATAAAGATCTCTCTCGTTGTTCAAAAAAAAATAAATGACAAGCATTCTGTGTCAGACATGGTTACAAGTTCTAGTTAAAATTAATACGAAAACAATCGACAGATTTTACATAGTTTGCTTAGAAATACTATTGCATTGTGGTCCTCAAGTTGTTCTATAAAGCTATATTGTTGCTGAATATTTCTTGAACTCCTTTTATACACTTTCCAAATCGCCAAAAAAAGGACCCTAAAAATACCCATGGATGATAGGTTTAAATGCCATGAATATAGAGACTAGAAACTCCCTAAGGTTGTGTCAAGTTAGTGTTTTCCATAAGCAGATTCCTATCTTATTTTGCTGTTATAATGTTAATGAAATCCTCTATTGTTTGTGTGCTTTTCACCTAAAAGGTAGTTGGCAATGTAGCCCTTTAGTTTCATGTCGGGAGTCCTTTGACAGGGATAGAGTTTGTCAATTGATTTAGCTCAGGATGCGGGTTGGTCCAGAAAGATATTGATTTTGGCTCCGTACACCTATTTTAAAAATTCAATCAATTTGTGCTAGTATAAGTGCCATTTGGATGTATATTTCATTCATGCTTTCAACATTACCAATAAGCATGTCAGCAACTTGCTGCATTATTTTTCTAGCAAAATATGAGAAAGAAATAAATTTACTTGGGTTCTTCATCAATCCGAAAGGTAAACCTTCATTATTGTAGTAAACACTTGGTTTGGTGTGAATGAGATTATTAATATGATTTCTTATTATGGTCTAGTATAAATGAGATGATTAATATCGTTCTTAAAAGGCAAAGCTTTATTACCGTGGTTAACATGGTTTCTTATGCTTCATTACTGTAATAGATAATTGTTTTAGTGTAAGCAAGATGCGTGATTAACTTTAAGCCTACAATATCAAACACAAGTTTAGGGATTAATCTTCTAATGAGATTTCACAATCTCTTCAAGCCTCTCCATAGAAGAGGCTGTCAAAGAGGGAACATTTAATCAAAATTTTATGTAAGTTGAAGTTTTGATATTATGTATTATATATATAACAAAGAAAGAAAGAAAGTAGCCTAGACGGTCCTTCTAAATTGGGACCAGTTTAACTGTTGGTTAGAAGAATGGCTTATAAGGTTCATCTAGTTGGTGTGTCCCCAAAGTATTCCCAGTGCGTCTCCTAAATGATAATACTCCCTCTGTCTCAAAATATTAGTCATTTATTCAATTTTTCATTGTCTTAAATATTAGTCCCTTTTTCTAAAATCAAGGGCTAAAATAATATGAATTTCCTATTTTTGCTTTTCTTTTAAATTTATTAATAACACAAAAAATACAAAAATGACAATTGATATTCCCAAAAAAGCGTGTACTATCAAAGGGTAATTTTGAAAAGTTAAATGTAATAATTGTACTATCAAAAAAGTTAGATTCTCCAAAAATGACTAATATTTTGGGATGGAGAGAGTAATAATAAATAAACGAACACGTCACGTGGCATGTCTCATACCCGATGTGTTCCCTTAAAAAATAATAATAAATAGAGGGACACGTCACGTGGTGTGTCTTATACCTAATGTGTCCCCTAAATAATAACAATAATAATAATAAATAAATAAATAAATAAAGGGACATGTCACCTAACATGTTTCATATGTGTTCCGGTGTCCGGCACGGTTACAGCACTTAAAGTGGCAATGCTTCATAGATTGTGATAAGTCATCAAAACATATGAAACAAAGCGAATGCATTATGGGAAAAGAGAATTTCCAACTTTTAACTAGTACGAATAACTGATTCATATTTAAAAATTTTGCATTCATTCATTAAAAAAAGAATAACAAATTGAAATTTGTTTTTTTTTTTGGAAAATGTAAGAGATGTAACCACCATGAAAAACTCTTAAAAATCCTATGGAATAAAATGTATGAGAAGAAAATTCAAAACTTTGTTAAATACTTTTGGTATGTGCCTTTAAAATTCACCAACTTAGAGTAAACTGTTAATAACCATAGAGCCTGAAACTAATTATCAATAACCATAAAACTTTCAAGAAAGCTGATTCCTTTGCTTAGTTGCACACTGGTGTTGATTTGAACTAGACTCGATAGCTGGCAATGTAGTTGAGTTGTTACATTGTGATTTCTCACCCCATTCGCCATCGGATTCAAGCAGTTCATACACACAAACAGTGCCATCGGTTAACCCCAATGCAAATTGGTTCGGTTCATTTGGATTCGTAGCAACCACTAGTGGGTATATAACATGACTACGATGAAGAACGATAAAAAGAAAGAGTTAAAAATGAACATTAGTACAAACTTAGATATGAAACTCATTGTATGTATACGAAAAAAGTCTAAAATACCATTTTTGTCGTTGAGTTTAATGACTAAAATATTATTTTCCTGTCAATTTTACTTTATAGAAATAGATGGATGGTTTAAATTGAAAATTGGAAGGTAAGTAATACCTAGTGTTGGATGGAAGATAAGTAGTAGAATTAATCAGGCATCGTGGTTGGAGATCTGAAGCACAAAATATGCACACAATTCCATCCAAAAAGGTTGGATAAACCAACTGGCTATTGCATGAAAATGTTGCATGTGAGACTGGAGTCAACATCTCTGGAACCGGCCATTGGAAATACAAAACATAAAGTATTTTATTTAAACTTTGAAAAATAAAAGTGCCAAATTATGGTATTCACAAAATAAAGTTACTTGCACAAGGCATTCCAGCTTGATTGTTTCATACACGGCAAGTTTCAACTCATGCACGACAAGGAAGTGTATTTGATCTTGGTGAAACTGAACCTCGATTTCTGACAGTTTCTTGGTTGATCTTCCAGTTGGAAGCTGCAATAAGCTGCTTTTTTTACTTATCGATTTATTGCATTGCCACACAATTATCTGCCAAATGAAAAAAAAAAAAAAAAAAAAACACAGTCAGAGAATCGAAACTTTGAGAAGGGCTTAGAATTTCAAATTATCAAATTTGAAAAAACACAAACCTAATTGTTCGCTCCAGCAGAAACAAATAAATTACTCAGAGAGGAAAAGGAAAGGCCGGTGATTGGTTTAATGTGACCCTTCAGCATGGATTTCACCTTCAGCACGAAAAGATTAAAAAATTTACTTATCATTCCATTTAAGAAGAGCCATTGAATCTACACAAACAAACTAAGATCATACCTCATTTGCACGAGTGTCATATATCAGAACAGTCGAATCATCCATGCCAATGGCAATTATGTTGTTATCATGAGGATAGAAGGCAACATACATTGGCACAGGCGGTGCAAATATGAAAATCGCCATTGTCTGTAATGTTCCAACATTTAGGAAAACATCAGTCAACTCTAAATAAAAATAAGGTTTTTTACAAGAAGCGTGGGAACGTCTTTCAATAAAGTTTAGGTAGAAAAATAGAGTACTTAAAACCAAACCAAAGCATTTGAAAATTGTACGATACCTTAAATGTTGCTATGTTGAACAAAGAAACTTGACCCCCAGATGTTGAAATGAGGTAAGAATCATTTTTGGACAAAGCGAAACAGGGCTTGGCCTCTTCAGTTCTAACACCAGTTAAGTCATTTGTCATTAATGTCCTCGATATTGGATGCCATAATTGAGGGGAATTCTTCGTTGTTACCTGCATCAAGACATACCTTAATTCTCAACATAACAATCTTGAACTCATATTTGAATTCAAAGAGAAACGTGCGTGCATACATATAAACGATGGGAATTTTTTTACCTTGGATTTATGTGGCCACCTCCAAAGTAAATGGATTGCATTTGATGCTAATGCTAAAATGGCATCACTGGAACTCGTGTACGTCAACTTCAACATTTGAATTAGTCAGTAGAGAAACATCTACGAAGAACTAGTCTTTATTTGGCAAGAGCTAAGAAGCACATACATGACAGGAATACAACACATACACACCACCTTCTTAGAAGTGTCTGTGTATCCAATATTCCAATATAGAATATTGTTGAAACAAAGGTGCATCTAAGGTAAACAAAATATAACATTTATAGCATTATTTTGTATCCAAAATGGATAAACAATGATTGACCATATTTACACTATAATAATTAGTGAATCGCACCTTAGCCATTTTGATAGAACCAGGAAGCAGCAAGAACTGAAGTTGAGCAAGCTCACTAATTTCTTTGATCTTCAATGCCTTTATTGGTTTGACGACTTCAATTGTTTTAGGAACATCCTCCAAGCTCCTTCTGTCCCCATTCTAGCAAGTCCAAGTTTTATGTTACTTCAGAAGTGATTGTAGCTTACTTTTCATGCTCCTTTCGGATACGATAGCCCTATAGTTCGGACTCCTGTGGTTCTGAATCTGATTTCACAAGTACAATGTGAAATAGATAAACACAAATGAGTCCAAATCTGACAAATCTTTTGAAAAATCGATTTTGAATCAAAATGCCAAAAATGGACTACATTGCCATATTTCAGAGTCACCACCTAAATATTTTCGAAAAATCTAGGAAACCCGTGACTGATGCAAAAGGCCACTTATTCGTCATCACCAAAGTGTCTTGGCTCGGGTACTTAGGTATGAGAGGGGAAGGTCATGAATTGAGCACCTCACTCACCCGATCAAAGATCGGCCTCTACTAATCACGATGTGATTCTTATTTACATTATATGCTCTTATTCCGATTTTTATGCTATCCTTACTAGGTGACGCACACAAGTATAGACTAATTTGCAAAAGTTAGAACATTTTGATTTTATGTTTGTTTGAAAATTGTTTTGAATATGTACCACTTCGAAAAAGTAATCTCATATGCACATTTAAGCAAATCATCCCAACTTATGCAATTAGTCTCCATCCACAGGCATTCAAACAGGTATATCACTTAAGCACTTAGCCTCATGGTATCATGTTTGACATAGCAAAAATCACACGCATGCAATGTGCTAAAGCAAAAATGCTCGCCTAGTACTCCAAGGCAAGCCAAGGAAAATAAAATGATTAGAAAGAATGCATGATTCTAAAAATAAAAATGACTAATGCAACACATACAAAATACAAATAATAAGCTCGGCTAATAACATGGCATGTGAAGCAATTTGAGGCATGCTATAAAAGCACGTATTTGTATAAG